TTAGTATAATTTCAGAGCTGAGCAAAGAGTTTCCAGCAATCTGATTGGTCGAGCGGTTCCTTATGTGACGTTATATAAACCGCTCCACGCGGTTTATATTTAACAATTATTCGCCTCAGGTTCGGTGAATATTGTCGAATAATCCCCTCGACTTCGTCTCGGGGATTATTCGACGATATTCACCTCGCCTTCGGCGAATGATTGTTAAATATAACATTTTATACAAAGTCTTATAACAGGAAAAGCAGTAACGACTAAACAAGCCCAAAACGGCAGAAATCGCCAAAAACCACAACGGACACCCAAGGAATAATGACTAGGTTTTATCAATCTTACGTGTAGAATATTCATAAATCCGAATTCGATCCCCTCGCTCTCGAAGTTTGGTTTAGCTTTACGGCCCATTTTCCGTTTCCCTTCTCCTCAGTGTAACACCATCGTCTGGAAAGAATTTATGAAACCGACCGCAAGATTCACGTGATACCATCAAATGCTTTTATTCCGTCTTTAAAATAGAATAAAATATAGAATTCAATTCTAATTCACTCCATGCATAAATATCTTTTAAAATTTTGACTAATAGAATCTAAGTTCACACAACTCTGCATTTAGATCATAGCAATTTTCACTCAATAGCAATTCTTCACATGGTGCGCATACTTCACTCTCAAGGAAATACAAAGCGATAGAAAGCTTCTCCTTCTTACTAATTCTTTCTTTGAGATATTTAGCAAGGTGGTGAGAAGTATAATTAATATTATTATATGGCTGTGTCTCACAAGGACTGGGAACTACCCAATTCACGAATTTGATTGGCTGAAATCAATATTGTAAGCGGTCTAGATTTTCCCATCTAGACCGTCACCTAGACCAGTCTAGAAAAAAAAAAGGTACAAAGAATATAAAAAATTGGCATATAAGACACAGCCATATAATAAACATCTTATTAACCGAGACAGGTCGGTCTATATGGGAGTATATTGACCTCGGTCGCTGGTACAGACCTCACTGCGTTCGGTCTGTACTGGCGACCTCGGTCAAGATTCTGCCATACAGACCTCCCGCTCGGTTAATAAGAACTAAGTACTAACCAAAAATTATTCATCAAATACGCCTGCACAGCAAGCTATTAGAAGTTCACAATAAGGTCCCGCGTTCTTCATCCCCTACCCACAGGGTACTCCATTACCCCACGGCACTCCATTACCACACGGCACTCCATTACCCCACGGCACTCCAGTACCCCAGGGTATTTATCACACTGGCTCGAGCTTAGTACACTTTTGAAGCTAACGCGAAGCGTTTACTTAATTTCATTTACAACAAACGACTGGGTTATTGTGAGGCTTCGAGTAATTCTTTTTTGTAGTCGTGAATTTAAGTTCCACGAACATACTATATCAGGTACTTTTTTGGTTCCACGATATAACTGCGCACAAAACAAACAAAAATAACATTGGTCCTCGTCAACCCACACAGCAGATCATTTCAGTGTCACTTTTCGAGAACCTCAAAGCAGGTAGAAAATATTACCAAGTTGCGCGAGCAGAATGGATCAGAATCATAACACTGCGAACCAGACACGATAAGTTTAAATTTTTCATCTAACTGGTCGAGACAGTGGTGTTAAATTTTCCCGCCAATCAGGAGCCCCCAAAAAATTACATTACGCCTTAGCTCGTTTAAGTTTACATAAAAGTTCGACTTTTCTAAGGACCCACTAAATTCTCAGTACACATCAATGAAAACACTTACTTACATGCGTGCGGGTCAGATAAACTCTCCCTTTTTTACCATTTACATCGAATGCATTGTAAATAAACTTTTGCTAAAAAAATAAATTATGCTCGTTTTTACAACCATTTACACCCACAGGAATCTCATTTCTCATCCAAAATATAAAACAACTGTCACTGAAAGCTTCAAATCATTTCTGAATGTTGAAAGAAATTCCACACTATGTTTTCTAGAACTAACACTCCACATAAAAAACAACTTATTTCGCAGCTTTTAAGACAGTATGCATTATTCTGCCATCGTGACTGGTGTAAAATATTCCATTCATTACGATACTAGGAGGTTCCACTTCTCTTGGAGGGACTTAAATTGACACCAGATGCCGGCACCGTGCCAATTGGACCCAGCGGAAACGTTCGATTTCTGGGAAAAGTAATTGAAAAAAAACAAATTGGGTGCAAATGAAAGTAATGCTCAGATAGGATTCATTACTAAGGTGAAACGGGAAAAAAATAAAAAATGTGAGAGAATACAACAAAAATATTAATAAGTACCCAAAGAGTACATCTGTGGGATACACTCATTTGCATTAACGGACACGAGCCGATGACAGTAGTGTGGAATACCACAGGTATCCTACACAAAAACCATAGTCTATCTATTGAGCTCTAAATTCCCTTACTCCTTTTGTTACTTCAGTCAAGGGGGCGGGGGTTAATAAGGGAAGAAAGCTTTAGGTGTGCGATAAAGTGCATTTTGAATGATGGATGTCAACACAAAACTAAAGAGATTATAACGACCCATCAGAGTACTATTAAGTGCTACATAGTGCCAATGGAACCTTTAAAAAAAATACTGCCTACCTAGAGCGCAAGAGAACGCAGCCTGTGTCGGGCTTTTGACCAGTGAAGACGACAGAATGAGCGAGCGAGAAAAAAAAATCGACGGGTTTTATGGAAGAATTCACCTCTCAGTTTGGAGTACATTCGGAGACCAGGTCCTCATATGATTGGCAGAGAGAATGAAACTTGGCACATATTTGAATTTGCCCCTCGGGATAAAGTTAATTCACCTTTTTGATACTGTACGAATCTTCTGTAAATCAAGTTTCATATATCATTAAAAAGCAACTAGCCAACTCACCTTGCACAGGGTGACATGTCATAATAGCCACTCTCCATGAGAACGTTTTCGATTATATTCTGCAATAAAATAATTGTAGTTTAAATCTCAAAAAGTTCATTTACGTGAAATAATAAGATAAGCGACGATGCAGCAGAAATGAAAAAAAAAAGATAAAATGTCCTATGTAAATGTTGAGAGTTTTGGTTGTTGTTGTCCCTAAATTGTTTAAGTACCCATGTCAAATGAGGTAGTTACTTCAGATACGCTAAACATTAACACATCACCGTATTTGAAGTTGTTGCAAATCTTACGACTTAAAAAGTACCTTTACCTTAACCCTTTAACTATCATGAGTGACCAAGACAGAATTTCTCCTTAAAATATCAATACAATATCAAACAGACAAGTGATGAGAATAAAGAAAAATGCGAAGTAGGGGATTATAAGCTCACCCAATGCCAAATTGTCCGAGCTAATATCATCGATACAAATTGTAAATAAAAAACCCTATCACTGACCTTTTGCCAACTGCATTCTCGTAGAGGTGGAAGGGGTTGGGGACTAAAAAATACTCTCTCGAAGGTTTCAATCTTCTTTACAACTTTATAAACTGGAAACAAGATTTAAAGAACAAGAAAGCTTAACAAACCTGCATCATCTCGTATGTTATTCCAATTTCCTGGACGTCGCCTGATTCAAGGTTAACTCCGCTCACTAGGAACGCAAAAACAACGGTAAGACGTAAAAAATGTGACTCACGTTCACATATTACAGAACCTTGGCTCCTCTTGCTCTCTGAACTTACCTAACTTATCAGCGGTATCTAGCTGGTGATGCAGGAATGCTGGATCCCCAAACCCGAACTTCAGGTCAATGACTTCTCTAGACCCCTCAATCACCTGTCATACAACCATACAAAGTGCTTATCAACAAAGGTAAAAAATATATATCTTGGCCAAATCATCAGAAATCATTCTGGTGTGATGAAATGTAAGTAACTCCTAGAATACCAAATAAGTCATTTTGGCATGTTATTTCCGATAAATGAAAACGATTGGAATAAACCTTAATCCATCAAAATCTTACGAAGGGTCACATTTGTTTTTCTAAAATCTTAAACTATTATGAAATATTACAAGAAACCTCTGGCGGCGAATAGGAGCTTACCTTCTTGACCTCGCTTTTAAGATTGACGAAGGAGCTGTTTTGAGGAGCAAACAAAGCTCTCTTAAACTGCTCCACTATTCTTCTTTGTGGGTTTGGCGATAAGGTAGGTGGTAACTGAAACAGCAGTGAAATATTAACATGAAATATCAACGTGAGAAACTAAGTAAAAATTAAAGAATGTTACGAAGATAAACCTTTCCCGAACTAAGAGTGCGACAGCAAAGAACATTTTCACGGAAACTGTATCCCATTGCAACAATCTTGACACTGGATGCTCGAGAATCAATTCTGTTTACTGTTATCCCACGGGTTGGACGAATAGAAGGAAACGACAAAAGATAACGTAACAACTAGTCGCGTACCTGTGTAATGAAGATGATCTTGTGGAGTTGGTTGAGAATCTGGGAAATAGGATCGTTTATTTGACGCACTTTACGAGGTGATATACTAAGAGTTGCTGCGGCAGTAGCTGGACAAAAAAAAAATCAACAAAGAAATAAACAGACTTACTTATTTACATTAAAGAGCGCTCTGTGGTAAAAAATTCTTTAAAACGTTACCTTTCGACTTTCAGTCTTAAGCCTTTAATAATGATAAACAATATTATACTTACGAGGTCTTGCTTTTAATTGTCCACTACTCTGTCTTCTATACATTTCCACAGATGAACTTAAATGGAACAAACAGAAGGACATTACAAACACCTGATTTCTAAGAATTGCGTCCTTTAAAGCAGTATTCCTTGTTCCTTACACTAATTAGGCTGAGTGCAACACTTTCGCAGAGAGATTCTATAGCTTCGAGCGTCAGTCCTTCATCAGAGCGAATCATGAAGCTTCATTTTTCAAACTAACCTGCTATGAGTCCTTCTGGATGAAAATTCACTGATGCTAGAAGAAGGAATCCCAGATAAAGTTCCACCAACAGGTGTTCCTGTTGTAGTGCTCGAACCATTTGACGAGGCAGCCTTACTGCCGATCGCGAAATCAACATGAAGTTGTCTCTTTGCGCCTTTACGTGGTCCCGGGGGCTTGGGTACCGCAAAGACATGTGAATTAGTTGCGGAAGAACTGGCGCCTGTTTTCTCAATGACAGTCCTACTGTTAGACAGTTTTTCTATTCCTGTCCTACTGCCCGATAAGGGCTTATCTTTGTCTTTGTTTATAGTAGACGATTTTTCAATATTCCCTTTGTAACAAGATTTATCAGTAACAACTGGCTTAAGAGTCCTTTGCCGCCGCGTTGAGCCTGGTGACGAGCTACTTTCAGGTTTAGTACCATCATTTTGTTCAGGTGATCTGGTACTAGTACCCGGCCCTCCGTTGGTTTGAGCTTCTCCTCCAATGTCAATTCTAGAGTCCACTTGATTCGCAAACTCCAGTTCACCGTTTTTATGAATGCCATTCTTGTTGAATTCTGCCAGGGCACTCGCTGCCTCAAACACAGTGTCAGAGCCTTCAGGGACGTCCACGTTCCTGAAGCCAGCGGCTCCTCCACTACTTGACAGGTTCATCAGCTTGTCATAGCGTTCTTGTGAGGCCCAAAAAAGGCGATGGTAGTTCTGCATGTTACGATTTGCCTCGATGTAATGCCTACATGGTAAGACAACTCTCTCAATTAAAAGGACGGCCCTTTTTAAAACCGAAAATTAGCATAACGGGGTTCTATGGGGTGTTTGCGGAGAAAAAATACCTTTAATTAAAATTGTAACCGACTTGAAGATACGTCTATAAAATGCTGCATAAATATCTATCTACCACGAAAAATTGAGACATACACACCGTTGGGTTCTTTTTCTTTCCCGTTCCAGTTTCTTTTCCAGGCTAATCTCATTGGACCGTAACTTGTCCACGTACACTAGCATTATTTCGCTGATAATGGAAGCAACCTGAAACAAGAAGACCATATCACATTTCAGAAGAATGAAAGACTACAAGAGCATGTCAAAACTACGACCTGTGCAAAGACTAGTACCTCCCTTCTCCAAAGACGAATGACGTTGAATAGAAACACTAAATATTAAAACTGATTTAAATGTCAACCATCACCTCTTTTGAGATTGCAGCGTTACATGGCATACCTGAATTATATCCGGTCTTTCATCGGGATTGGGTGTCAGACACCTATAAGCAAAACGAAACAAGAAAGAGTTTTAAGCGTGCGTAGAATCCTTACTCGTGCGCAGAACTTCGAAACATTTGCAACCTTTCGTTTACGCGTCTGTTATGCAAGCTAAGGTGTTTTAGTACGCATGTTGAACACCAAAACAACGATGACATTCCCAAAAACCATGTTAACAGCAGAAGCAAAACCACGTGCAGATCTGGGTTTAAACCGCATTCTTGCAAACCGTAAAAAAAGATTACTTCGCTTCCTTGCCACTTGAAGGCATACTCCTCCATAACGGTAGCAACCAGCCAAATACAACTACGTCTCTTTTACCATTTGTATCGTAAACACTGACAGACATCTCCCGGCTGGACGTGCGTCGATACGAGAAATAGTGATGAAAGACACACAAAAAAACTAAAGATTTCTCTAGGTATCTAGCCCTCTAGTCTCAAAGGCATACACTACCAACGAAGTTTTAAAACTTAGACAAAGTAACATGCAACAAAGGTCACTCTAGCCTTTCTAAGGGGTGTACCTAGGCTACTGACCTAGTCACTGTCTCGAAAAGCTTGTCCGAGTACTCTCCAGGAGGAATGGGCTCGTACTTAGCTTCTACAATCTGTGTTAAAGGGACAAAAAATAAAGTCAAATGACACCCAGAACAAAGTGATTTGCCCGTGGCAGGTGCAGCGCAACAGTTCATGACTAATATTTAGATATGTTCATTCTAAGTTTTTTCATCTTTCCAAAGCAGTTACCCGTGCAACAGTCTCTATGTAATTACTACTGAAGTGGCAGAGACTACATTGTAAGGCAAACCACAAAACAGTACTGGTGTTTTCACCTAAATGAATAGCCACATCAATTTTTAACATAAAGCAAAGCTTTTACTAGGGAAAATCCAGGTTCCAGATGTGCATTACAAGACAGATGACCTGGACTTAAATTCGTAATGTTCCCTGAAATGACACCTCAATTGAGAAGCACCTTTCTATACTTGAGGATGTTCCATGAATAGGGGTTCCACTGCTTTAAGAATGACAAATTCATTAAAACTGACAGAAATACAATATAGTTTAACCTCACCAGAGTTCCTCAGACTATTTCAACGGCTATCATGAGATTTATCAACTCAACTCGTTGATCAGTGCTGAAGATGCCAAGAAATAAATTAGAAGGGTTATTTTAATGTTCAGCTCTTGCCGACTTACCTTGGTTGCTAATGCTAACATGTTTGATGAGTAAAACGGTGGTTGAAGAGTTGCCATTTGATAGAGAATACAGCCCGAGGCCCAGACATCAGCCTTTTCGCCGTAAGGCTGGCTTTGAACGACTTCAGGACTACAAACGGAGAATAGAGACATTCAGTACTCATCAGGACTGAAAGAAAGGATTCTATATACGGAAAACAATGCAGGTCTGTATACACTTGTGGATATTCTATTTAACAATTATTCCACGAGCGCGCGTTGGATATGAGATGATAGATAGCCAATGAGGCGCGTAGCGCCGAGTTGGCTATAATCATCTCATATCCAACAAGC